CCGGAGTGTTTGTTCAGAGTCCCATTTCCTGAGAGTGTGAGCAGGTCAGGTACCCAGCTTCCCGCTGACCCAGCTGGAGAAACCCAGGATTGTTCCCTACACCACCCCTTCCCTCACAATTGACTCACTGGGCCGAGTGCGGGTGGTCCCCTTCCAGAATGTGTCCTTGTATGGAATACGGGTGAGATTCTGGCCCATCTTCTCTGCCCGCTCTAGGGAAGAAAGACAAACGGCCTTGGCCTCAGCTGAAGAGACAGGCAGGGACAAGACAAGAGGACACAGCTGGGGGTTGGGAGACAGACCTCGAAGCAGCTCCCTCAGGGGTGCCTTGGCTTTGTCCACAGGCATTTCTCCGTATTTGTTGCAGATGCTGACAAGGGCCCCATTAGCCACCAGGTCCTGGAAATGAAAAGGTGGCTGTGATGACGGCCCCTGCCACCTCCCTGGCAATCTCAACAACCACGATCTCAGATGCAGTACAAATCCTATGAGCGCCCTGTACTCTGCAGTGCTCACAGGATAGGATGAGGACTCCAGATCTCCCATGGGGGCTCAGACTCCCACCTGTCCCAGGGCTGAGGGCCTGAGTACTTACCTCTGCCACCTGGTCTTGACCCCAAAAACAGGCATAGTGCAGGGGCACATTCCCATGCTCATTGACTGCATTGATGTCAGCTTTGTACTGCAGCAGCTGGTTCCCAGGGCCAGAAAACAGAAGAGGCAGAAAGCGCAGTCAGTCCCAAATGAGACAGGTGTGGAGGCAGGTGAGGGAGAGGAGTACACTTTCCCCAGCATGGTATAGTGCCTGTGACAGGTAGGGAGCGGAGGGGATCATACGTACCTTCTGTACAATATCACGGTGCCCGTGACTAGCTGCCAGGTGCAAGGGTGTGTCATCCCCACGGTTCATCACATTGATTCGTGCCCCCCGCATGATCAGCATCTCGACCACAGCAGAGCGGCCCTCTCGGCAGGCCCAGTGCAAGGGGGAGAAGCCATGATCGTCCCTTTGAAGGAAGGGGCCATGGTCATTTATCTGGAGGTGGAACGGGGCAATGGCCTTTTATAGTCCCTCTATGTGCTCACCCCGGGCAGCCTTACCTCTCCAGGACTCCAATTCTCATCCCAGTTCAGACTCACACACTTCAAACCCAACCCTCAACAAGTCTCTAAGATTGATTGTTTTCATCAACATCTCCCACCAGCCCTTCTTCTCTGGAATGCCCTATCTCATTAAGTGGTGGCATTCTTTATCTGGTGTCCTCTGCATCCTTTTTGCAACATCTGTTGGTCCTTTCTGTTTCCCACTGCATATTGCACATCCCCCTACTATAATACTATAACACTGGACTGTAAAAATCCGTGAATGGGCTGTCCTGTCAGATTGCAAGCTTCTCGAGAGAATGGATTGACAATGGGTTCAGTGCCTGTTGCGGGTGCAGTCATGGAGAAAGAATGCCATAATTCACGGAGAGGGGGCAAACTTACTGATTGGCTCTGGTTGAAATTAAGATTTAAAAATGGAAAGGAATTTAAAAAGTTTTGGGTTTATAATGAAAATGAGAAATGCTTTTGATAAGCCATTACTGATAAGGCACTATCAAACTACCACATAAAACAGGAGTCTTTTACACAAACAATCCTAGGCCCAGAAAACAGAAGAAAATCAGAATGTCTTCTGGTAGAAAGAAACTGCTTGACTTTTTTCTTTTCCCATGAACCTGTATTTTATAAAGTAAAAGACCCGTACAAACACACACACACACACACACACACACACACACACACACACACCCCAAAGCAATCGGGTGGGAGCAGGGCCTGCCTGACAGCCTGGGGCCATAAAAGGAAATTCCCTCCAGTCCCGGAGGCAGATCCAAGGGGCGGAGCTGGGGTTGGTCTGTGGTTTGGGCCGACCGCCTCCGGATGCCTTAGTGCTGTGGTCACTTCCGTGTGGGGGCTCTGGGCCCGGCCTGGAGCTGATCAGGGGTCTGGCCTCCGCAGGCCAACCAGAAGCCCCAATAGCTCATGGGAGTGAGGGGGCGTGGCCTTAAACGTAATGATTTCCTTCCGCAGCTGCCTTCATCAGCTCTCAGCCAAAAGTTTTCCTGGGAGGTGGGTTCCTCCCCCTCCCCTAAGCAGTTACCACCCCCTGCTTATCAGTCAGTTTTACTTCCCAGCACTTTAATTTATGCCTTGGCTTATCATCCACCCACCCCCCAGACTATGGCCCCAAAACAGGCCAGAGCCTGAGAGCAAAAGTATGGGTAGGCTTCTGCCCACTGTCAAACGCATAGTGACCTCAGGGCCACGACTCGAATCCCAGAGGGGCCTGCAGGGAATTCATCCCAAACTCATAGCCATCATATGGCCAGCTTGGGCCCTCAAAACATATCCCCTCAGAGGGGATGTGTGGGAGGGAGGGAGGGGGGCAAAAAAAATCAATAAAATATATTTAAAAAAAACAAAAAACCTATCCCCTCAAACCAACAAAGCCTTCCAGTTTCACTGCCACCCCTTCACTTTTGGACAGCAGAGTCTAGCTGGGTGCCACACCCACTGGACAACTTCGCCTAAGCCTTTGTAACCCCAACAAAACAGTAACAGTGCCCCCTGACTTTATTAGAACACCCTTTGAGTGACGGAACGAGTGACTTCGAATTATGGAGAAGTAGTATAGAGCCTAATGGGTACCAATGAGCCTTGTGGGAGCCTGGATGAAGAAGACAGGTGATTCTTGCCTCTCAATCTTAAAAACTAAACTCCGCCAGCCTTAAAAAAAAAAAAAAATTTTTTAATGAAATTAAAATCCATCATCCTGAGTCAACATCACGACTGCTTTTCTTGTCTTCCAGTCTTATCCAACCACATCTCTCATTCAACCTAGTGGCACAAGGCCCCTCCTGGAGGTATTGAGTCTGAATCCCCACCTTCAGTGCCCAGCAGAGGTGGTGTATGTAGTACAGCACCTTAAACGGAGGAACCTGTGTAATCTGGATTCTTCGCCTGTTTTCCTCTGCAACAGCCCTCACAGAGATCACCGGATGTAAATGCAGCGGGTACTGTAAAGTGTTTAAGTTCTTTGATCTCTCAGGGGCCTGTACAATGCTGACCACTCCTCCTTCACTGAAACATTCACTTCTCTATGCTTCACCAAATTTTCCTGTTTCTCCTTCAACCTCCAGTTGTTCCTTTTAAGTCTTGCAGGCTTCGCATCCCCTCTCTTTCACACCATCTTCAGGTATCATCTACATGCTAATATCTCCCAGATCTGTGCCTCCAAGTCAGACAATTTTCCTGAAATCCAGATCTGCATGACCAACAACTTGCTCAACATTTCTACTTCCCTTACTGTCACTTTAACGCGTCTAGAGTGAGCTTATCATCCATCTTAGTTAAAGGAACCACCATCTACCCAAGTGCCCAACCCAGAACCCTCGTCATTGTCTTTGACCTTACTTCCCACACCAAGTCTCACCAAGTCTTTTTTACGTATTTATTTGTTCACTATTCTTTTTTAAAATGTCTTTCCAATTACAGTCAATATTATTTTGTATTAGTCTCATAGTGGTTAGACAACCATATATTTTACAAAGTGTTCCCCTTGACGCTTCCACCAATTCTTTATCATAAAGATTTCAGGAATCTGATCTCTCTTTCACCTATCCACTCCAGTCTAAGCCGCCGCCACCACCACCACGTCTGGGATGAACTAGGCAATTGCTTCTCTTCACTCTGCCACCGCCTTCACAAAGCATCCAAGATGACCCTTTACAACTGGACAACCTCACGTCACTACATGGTTTTAAACTCTTTTCCTTAGAACAAAGACCTTATTTATAGCCTAAATATCCTTGCATGGTCTGGCTGACCCTCGCAGACCTTTCCAGTCTCCTGCGGTTCTCCACTTGCACCCGTGGCTTCTTATCCTCCGGCCATAGGAAATTTGACAATCTCTGGGCACTCCCCACTCGGTCTTGCCTCCACGCCCAAGAAGTTCCCTGAGGCTGGAAAGCTCTCTTGCAGCCAGGCTCTGCCAATAAAACTCTTAACTTAGCAGTCAAGGTTCAGCTCAAACACAGCTTCCTCTGTGGAGCCCCTGTGCCCTCCCCGCCCCCCCCCCCCCCAGGCTGTGCTTGGCACTCATCACACTGGAGAGGATGGAAGTCAGCCGCTCCGGATGAGCACCCCTCATGCCCTCCCTCTCACCCCACACCGGACACCTCCGCTCACCCCTGGTTGAGGTCGTTCTCCGTGTTGTCCAGCCACAGGCGAACGGCTACCGCGTTGCCCTCCCGGCACTGGGTGAAAATGTCGTCCATCGCAGCGTCCCGGCTCGGAGTCCCCTGGGTTGGGGAAGCCTGGGGACTGTGGAGAGATCCAGGGGGCGGGGGTGAGCCTCAAACTTTGTCCCCTCAAGTGCACAAGTATCTGCGTTGGGGGTGGGGGTCTGGGTGCTGCGTCCCCAGTCAGTGCAGGTTTGGGAAGGAGTTCGGGGAAACGGGAGGATCCCCAACTGGGTGTCCCCGGATGAGAGAGAGAGAGAGAGAGAGAGAGAGAGAGAGAGAGAGAGAGAGAGAGAGAGAGGCAGGCGAGTCCGGGCGAGATAGGAGGAGAGTGGGAGGAAGCATGTCTCCAGAAGGGATGTCAGAGAGCACGCACAGGGACCCAATTCGCTCACAGCTGGAGGAGGGGGGTGGGGGGAGAGGTTCGGACTCCCTATTTCCTGGGGGAGGAGATCGGGGGTCCTTCCTGGGGGTGGCCCCGTCCCCGATTCCGAACGGAGGAGTGGGGGCGCCCTGGGGAGGGGGCACGGATGTCCCCGCACTCACCGGGACTCGGGCTGGAGGAGCCTTCTTCGGGGAACTCCCGTCCGGCCGCGCCCGCCGCCCGGCCCCGCCCCTGGCCCTCGGCAGCCCGCGCGGACCTCCCTTCCTCCCGACTCCTTGCCCTTCTAGCCCACCAGGGCGCGCACTCGATGGTTCTCGGCGCCGCGCCGGCCGCTCTAGCCGCCCGGCGTTCCCAGCTTGGTTTCCGGCGCGGGGCGCTCGGGTTCCCGGAGACGGACGCTCCCCGCACGTGGAGAGGCGCAGGCGCCCCGCCACCCCGCCCCGCGCCGCCCAGATGTTCGAGGAGCCCGAGTGGGCCGAGGAGGCCTCCTTGGCCGCGGGCCTCGGGCCGGTAGCCTCGCGGCCGCGGCCTGCGGCAGCCTGCCAAGTCAAGGTGAGTGGCCCCCGGTGGCCCCGGGGGCTGTGGAAGGCCCCGGAGCGGGTTCTCGTGGGTCACCGCGCTGGCCACGCCGCGCGCACTCCGCGAGTAAGTGTGTGTGTGTGTGTGTGTGCGCGTTTACGCGCACACGCGCCTGTGGCCGAACTGAGATCGAAGATCTGAGCTCTTCCACAAGAAAATGACGTTGGGCCGAAACCGGTGTGGCTCAGTGGATAGAGCGTCGGCCTGCGGACCTGGGGGCGGGGTCCCAGGTTCGATTCCGGGCGAGGGCATGTACCTTGGTTGTAGGCACATCCCCAGTAGGGGGTGTGCAGGAGGCAGCTGATCCATGTTTCTCATAGATGCTTCTAGCTTTCTCTCCCTCTCTCTTCCTCTCTGTAAAAAAAATCAATAAAATATATATTAAAAAAAAAGAAAGAAAATGATGTTGGAACTGAGAGTTGGTAAGTAGCACTTAGTGAAGCAAAGACAGGTTTCTCGGAAGGGAAAGCACGTGCAAAGGCCCTGGGTCAGGAGACCGTGCGTGTCCTATGAGGGTAAGGTGACCAGACGTCCCGCTTTTGGTGGGACAGTCCCGATTTTTAACAATGTGTCCCACGTCCCGTGGCGTTTTAAAAAAAAGTCCAAAAGATTTAAAATAATCTTTCCAAAAATCGGGACTTTTAAAACGCCGCGGGACAAATTGTTAAAAATTGGGACGTCTGGTCACCTTATATTGGGGTCACACACAGAGAAATAATCTGTGTCCTTGGAGCCCCGAGAATGAGAGGGGAAGCCATTGAAGTTGAGAGGTAAGTTAGTGGTTTTGCATACTTTAAGGGTAGACAGAAGTCCATGAATGGTTTTAGTAGGGCAAGGATTCCTTCAGAATTGCAGTGTGGAAAGGGGACTTGAGAGAGGGAGAGGCAATGACAGAGAAGGGTTGTCCGTGCTACCCTTTCCAAAGCGGTGTGGAGGGGGTACTAAGAGCCTCCCAGCTAAGTACCTGCACTAAGCCTGCCCAGTTGGACTTCAGTTCCCAAGGCCGCCCAGACAACAGACCTTCTCCTCTAAGCTTTTGCTGATGGGAAGACAGCAGTACTTTTCAGGCTCTTCCTACTCTCCGTGAGCTTCCAACATAGAATCTGTCTGCTTCACGCCTCCTCTTCATTCCCTTAACCCATTGCTATAATCCAGGTCCCGCTGTCTGCCTCTTGTCGCTTCGGTGCTCTATACTGCAGCCGAGTCATTTTATATAATAAGCGTCTCTCTTTTCAGGAACCTTCACCTTCCACCAGCTGGAGGCAAACACCTCAGATGGAGGGTTGGACCTCCTGGTCTCTGGCCGTGGTCCTGCTGCTTGTGGCTTTAACACTTTTCTTGGGGGAACCTCTTTTGAACATTGAAGAAAGTGGGATGGGCGGTTTCTCTATCTTCCAGCCTCCCAAAGGTTAGGATGGCAACTTGAAAGTTCTTCAGGGTCTGACATGCTTCGTGACAAGCTCGTTAACTCGGAATAATCCAGATATCGTTGCCAGTGTTTGAATCAGGTCCCTATCTCTCCCTTCTCGTTCCCCAGGTCCCATCCATTCTCCTCCCCACTGCTTTTATTCCTTCTTTTGTATATGTATATTTTTATTGATTTCAGAGAGGAATGAGAGAGAGAGAGAGAGAAACATCAGTGATTAGAGAGAATCATTGATTGCCTCCTGCACACCCTCTACCGGGGATTGAGCCTGCAACCCAGGCTTGTGCCCTGGACTGGAATAGAACCCAAGACCCTTCAGTCCACAGGCCGATGCTCTACCCACTGAGCCAAACTAGCTTTCATCCCTTCTTTCCTCTCTAGGGCTCCAAGCGCCGACAGCTCTTGGCCACGCTACGGGCCCTGCAGGCAGCATCTCTCTCCCAACAACTCCCCAGCCTACCTGGCAGCGACTCTGAGGAGGAGGAAGTGGTGGAGAGGAAAAAGAAACGCCCCAAAAAGGCCTCATTGGCCAGTGTTCCTACTAAGGCAGAGCAGAAAAGGAAGAAGCAGCATCAAAAACAAGGCCTACCTGGCAGTGACTCTGAGGAAAAGGAAGTAAAAAAGAAGAAGTGCCAGAAAAGGGCTCTTGAAGGTGATTCTGCTGCAGAAGACAAAAGAAAGGGGAAATGCCGGAAACAGGCGCCTTCAAACCCTGCCCAGCACCTGGACGGTGTTGACCAAACAGGTATTTGTGGATGCATACGTGTGTGGGGTGGGGGTCATCTGATCTTATATCTGACCAAGGTCACTTCCCAGAGATGAGGTTAGGCAGTTAAAAGTACCTTCCATCCAGGCCACAGTCTCTGTCTTGGCCAGGATGAATGTGCCAAGCCTCTGAGTTCAGTGGATCCTGCCCCCAATATGCCTTTCCGTCTTCCCCCGACAGGTGCCACAGCTTGGAAGAGTGGTGCTACAGATGACCCGTCCAAGCCAAGCCCTGTGACCACGTCCCCCCACACTCCCCATGCCTTGAGTCGCAAGCAGTGGCGGAACCGGCAGAAGAACAAGCGGAGACACAAGAACAAGTTCCGGCCACCTCAGCCGCCGGACCCGGCCAAAGCCACAGCCACAGCCCCCACAGAGGAGACGGAGGTGCCCCCCGCCCCCTCTCAGGATAACCACGAGGCCCGCGCAGGAGCCCTGCGCGCCCGCATGGCGCAGCGGCTGGATGGTGCTCGATTTCGCTACCTCAACGAGCAGCTGTACTCGGGGCCCAGCAGTGCCGCACAGCGCCTCTTCCAGGAAGACCCCGAGGCCTTCCTCCTCTACCACCGCGGCTTCCAGAGCCAAGTCAAGAAGTGGCCGCTACAGCCGGTGGACCGCATCGCCAGGGACCTTCGCCAGCGGTGAATGGGGCTGGGCACTGTGAAAACCAAGGTTGGTCAGTCATGGGCTCAGCCCAGACCAGTGAGTGACCCCTCCCCTCCACTCCCAGGCCTGCGTCCCTGGTGGTAGCTGACTTTGGCTGTGGGGACTGCCGCCTGGCTTCAAGTATCCGGAACCAGGTGCACTGCTTTGACTTGGCCTCTGTGGACCCCAGGGTCACTGTGTGTGACATGGCCCAGGTAAGCCCCTTCATCCCTCTGTGTGTCTGGCCTGTGTTTGAAGTCCAGGCGGCATGTGCTGGTCTCTAACACTCCCTTCCTCCTCCCTGCCCACACCCCATCCTGGTGTCCAACCTACCCCTCGCTGCTGGCCTTCTCCCCAAATTGTGTGCCTCATACACCACCCCCACCACCCACAGGTGCCTCTGGAGGACGAGTCCATAGATGTGGCTGTGTTCTGTCTTTCGCTGATGGGAACCAACATCAGGGACTTCCTGGAGGAGGCAAATCGAGTGCTGAAGCCCGGGTAAGAGCCTGCAGGGCACGGGTGCGTGTATATGTGTGTGTGCATGGGTGTGTCTGCACTTACACAGAACTTTCCGTTCTTCTCAGGGGTCTCCTGAAAGTGGCTGAAGTCAGCAGCCGCTTTGAAGACGTTCGCGCCTTTTTGGGAGCCGTGACCAAACTGGGCTTCAAGATCATCTCCAAGGTGAGGGCCAAAGAAGTCTGTCCCTGTTTTTGTCTCACGTGTGGCCCTGTTCAGGGTAATGGTGTTCAGGAAGAAGGCCATGGGCCCAGACATTTGCTTCTTGAAGGCATGACTCCTGGGAGAGCCCCGGGAAGCTTTCTGAGCTAGGGTGGGGCATAGACGGAGGTGTTTTTAATGGATGGGGTGAGGGATTGGGACTCACTGGGTCTTTTCTGCCCCTAGGACCTGAGCAACAGCCACTTCTTCTTGTTTGATTTTGAAAAGACTGGGCCCCCTCGAGTGGGCCCCAAGGCTCAGCTCCTAGGCCTGAAGCTTCAGCCGTGTCTCTATAAGCGCAGGTGACCTCTGGACCCCCCTTGAAGGGGGATGCGTGTCTTGAACTCCATAACCAGCCGGGCTGTGACCCAGGACCGGGTTCCGCCCTTCCTCTATCCCAAGAACAAAGTGTGATGAAACCCGTGGTTCAGCCCTGCTCTACTAAAGGATTCTGGTTGCAAGAAGCATAAAATCACTCGGGCTGGCTAAAGAATACGGAAGTTATTATGAGTACACAGGGATATCTGGGAATTATGGATCCCCTAGGTGTCATGGACATTAGATTATTTGGAATTATTTGACTTTTTTTTTTTTTCTGTCTCTTAGGAGCCACGGGGGCTTTCTGTCCTGGTGTCTCCATTCTCTCTTCTCATCTTCTGTCTGCAGACCAGCTTCCTCTGCTTACTCAGAACTGCTGCCTCTTCAGCTTTGGTCTGCTTCTTGGCTTTGAACAACTATTAGCCCACTAACTTTCTGGCTCAGTACAACAAACTGGGTTTCTGAGTCAGGACTGTTGTATTGTCTCTGCACTAAACACTTCTTTCCCCTCTAGTCTCGTGTCCACCTTTGCAGCTACATGACTCAAACACTCCCAGCATCTGTTGTTGCCTGTGGGGCCCTGATGTGTGTCTGGTTGAGAGCACAGATTTTATCGATAGAATCAGGTGGACCTGGCTGAGAGTCATTTGATTTTTGAATGTCACATTCCTCATATGGAAAACGGCAGAATTCCCGTCTCATGGACTATTGTGGGTCAACTGAGGAGATCTATAGCCAGGCCTGGGTACCGAGGAGGTGCTCAGTAAACTATAGCTGTAGCTCGGTATTGTGTGTTGTAAGCTTCATTGTTCTCTAAAGACCTTCTCTGGACTGGGTTGGAGGTTGGAGGGTAGATTTTCTTCCCCAAGAATAGATTTGTTGCCCTAGCCGGTTTGACTCAGTGGATAGAGCGTCAGCCTGTGAACTGAAAGGTCCCAGGTTCGATTCCAGTCAGGGGTACATACCCGGGTTGTGGGCTCGATCCCCAGTGGGGGACTTGCAGGAGGCAGCGGATCAGTTATTCTCTTTCATCATGGATGTTTCTGGCTCCCTCTTCCTTCCTCTCTGAAATAAATTTAAAAATATATATATTTAAAAAAAACCAAAAAACTAGACTCAATCAACGAGTTATATCAGCCAGGGCAAGAGAGTAGTTTTTGTTTGTTTTTTTTAATATGGAAGGAATGGGAAGGTTGTCAGTTGTCAATTGCTATTGAAAGGTGTATTAAGATGAGAAATCAGATTGTGGTGGGATGAGGACTGCTGAGTAATGTTGAGGGCCTTTTTGAACATATAAAGGTATTGTTTATGAATTTATAGTTATACCCCAGCCTAATGGTGTGGCTGTAGAAACAGCAATAAGATCGTCCAGAGTTGAAACCTTGCCATGCAAAAGAAATGAAAGGAGCAAAGTAGTTTCAGACTATTTGCAGGTAAGTGATTGCTATCCTGGGCCGTGGAATTTTGTAGAACAGATAGGAGAGTGAAAACAGGAGTAGGTTGTTATCCTGGTAGTAACTGAACAAGTGACCTGGGAGGATGGGAGAAGGTGGTCAGAAATTGGAAGACTTAAGTTGTAATTATTGGAAGCAGATCAGCTCCAGGTGATGGCAGAGTCCAGAGTGCAGTGACCATGGCGAGTGCCTGAGAGACATTCAAGGGAGGCTGCCTAAAGATTGGTTAGCGGACTGAGGGCTCGGTATTTGTATGGGGGTGGGCTGTTATCGTGTGGACTTTGCAGTTGTCTAGGATGGTGGTAGAAGTTGGCATGGAACAGGTGCCAACCTCCTGAGGGAGGAAACCAATGTAGGAGATCTGCAGACAAAGGGAAGGAGAGAATAATGGCATAAATTTCAAAAGTGCTGAGGGTTCACCCAGCCCATTAGAGACTCATTTGGGAGTGGAGCTGGGTGCCAGGCAGCTAAGATAAAGTACCCTGACAGTCCTCTCCAGTTCCTCAGGACTACCCGGGGATTGCTGGGGAGGGAGTATTGTAGCAGCTCCATGGCCAGGAGCCTCCTGCAATAATGGGAGGTGAGCCACAATGTCCAAGGGATGTGTTGTGGTATAGGGCATCTCACTGTAGGACACCTTTTATAGCTCCTTATCAGTGTTCTTTCCCGAATGTTTTTTATGTTTCTAGATCTTGACTAATCTTCCCCGTTTTCTTGGCATGCTCAACAGAACAGCTGGAGTCTGCCCTCCTCCCTCTTTTGCTTTCCCCCCTTATTCTTCTCCCTTGGCCTGTTCTGGCACCGGCCACCTGAGTAAACATCTCTCCTGGTCTGACTCAGACCCCAGGTTCACTCTAACTCAGCCCAGTCCCCAGTAGTGGCCCATCAATCACTGATTATGAAAGCAGCACTCTGCCTGACCTGGGTCCCCCCCACCACCCCCTCCATCATCAATTTCAGGACGAGCTTTTTTGTTCAAGTCCTTGCTTGGATTTCAGTGTCTAATGTTGAGATTCTAGAATGAAGAGAGAACAATATGTGTTTCTTTAAGAAATAGCAGCATGCCAGCTGTTTAAAGAACAATGAGTCCAATTTAAGGGACACTTTGAGGACAGGGAAGGAGTGGCAAGAGTAGTAGGCAAATGAGAATGGGAGGGGCTGCCGGTTGTGAAAGGCAGTAGTTCTCAAAGATGCCAGCGCAGTAGAATTGTCTGGAAGGCTTGTTATAATGCAGATTGCTAAACCCTCCCCCAGTTTCTGATTCAGAAGGTCAGGATAGGGCTTGAGAAGTTTTTTTCTGCTTGCTTTGATTTTCCTCAATGAAGCGGGAAGTAGACTTTGAGTTGAGAATGAGGATAGGGGAAAGGGGGTTGGAGTTTTGAGGAGAGGAAAACATGAATATTGTTTCTAAGAGAGGGAATGAATGAATTAGGAAAATGCAGCATGATTGCTAGAAGTATTTATAGCACACCCAAGGCATGAGGTCAGAAAGGATAGGACGGGAGGAGACCAGGGTGAGATTGCTTTCTGAAGAGCTTGTTACTGTGAGACAGAGTACACCTGGACTGTCAGAATCCACCCACATCTTGTGGGACAGGCTGGTTTCTGCCCTTTTACCCCACGTCTCATTGGGGATTCCACTGGGACCGTTTGGGATGCCTGAAGTATTTAATTCTACAGCCAAGGAATGATGAGCCGGAGTCTGACTCCTGCCCTGGAAATGCAGAAAGCTAGCAGAGGCTCACTGACTGCTTCAGTGTGGAGCCATTGGCCTGCATTCCCAGAATTTGCCGGGGCACCTGATGTATGAGTGCATCCTACACTCCTTGCAGGAGAGAGGACACATGGGTGGTCTTGGGTCCTGTCCAATAGGACCATTGGAAGAGGCAAGGATACCTCAACACAAAGGAGCTACCATGTACCAGGAAAATAAGACCTAGCGCAACTTTGGGAGAAAAAATTAATATAGGACACTGTCTTATTTTCGGGGAAACAGGGTAGGAGTGCCATGTGGACCGAGGAGGAAGTTGCAGGAGACCATCCAAAACAAAGCCGCACCACCAGGTCAAGGGGACAGCGATGTGCCCCCTGTAAATATCTGCGTAGTCTATAGGGCTCAGAACCACCAGTCAATCAAGAACCGTTTTATTCCCTGACTTCTCTGCACTTGGGCTCAAAGCAATCAGCACCTAATAGGTGGAAAAGAGCAGAGATTATTCTGCCCTTCCATAGCAAGCTCTTGTATTTAAGCAGAACAGAATTGGGAAGGGAAAATAGATAGATACAACAGGTGCAGATTATTTATTGTTGCATAGGATTAGACATTCTAATAACTTGGATTTGTGTTTGTATCTTAAAATGAGCACAAGACTACTAACTGAGCTGAAAAGTCACAGGCTTGCTACAGTTCTTTTCCAGCACTGGGCAAGAGTACCCCCAAATGAAAGAAGTCTGGAGGGGTGGTGAGAGACAGTAATAAAGTTGGATACTAGGCTTGTTAGCATCCCCTTTAAAGGCTTATTGCTTCTGCATATATTGGTGAGCTCCAGCTTTTGTTCCTGTAAGGTAGTCCTAAGAGAATACAGTTCCAGAAGAAACATGATCTTGGCAGAGACACAACTCGGCTCCAAACACTCAACTATTTCTGTAATCGCACAAAGCCCTTAAGGCTTTTTAGAGACTTGTAATTAGACCTTTTTACCCCCATGTTGCCCTCTTTCCTAGGTGACTTCTCAGACTGGTCACCTAGTTCTAGGATATATGACAAAACTCAGTCACCACCTTACTGGTCTCCTCTCTCCCACCCCTCCAAAGCAGTTCATTTTGCACACAGCCAAGTGATCTTTTTTTAAAATGTAAATCAGATTTGTCACTTGTCTGCTTAAAATTCTTCAATGGATGCTCATTGCTCTGAAAACAAAAGACAACTTTCATTCCCAGGCCCTGTGTGATCTTGCCCAGGCCTTCCTCTCCAACTGCATCTTAACCCACTCCTTACGAAACTCCAGCCACACGGGGTTACTTTTCATTCCTCCGACATGCTAAGCCTTTTCTGCTTCTGGGACTTTGTACAGGCCGCTCCATCTTTCTAGAGTGCCCTCCCTGGTGAGCTCATTTTCATCTTCCAGATCTTCACACCGACATCACCTTTTCTAATGTGGAAGAAACTGGCTAGTTGCCCACCAGAATGTCCTTTCTCTGGACAGTTAAACTCCATTTCCCAGCTCCTTGCATGAAGGTGGGGCAATATGAATAGTCCTCATCAGTGGAAGGGGGGTAGGAGAGATGTTTCACTATTACACCAAGGCACTTAGAGAGCAGATGAGCCTTCTCCATGTTGTGCCACCCCCTCCTCCACCTTCCAGGGTGACCTTGTAGCACATGTTTGAAGGTGATTGAGTAACAGCATAGAAGAGGTCTGGATAACTGAGTCACTCTTTGGGAGGAAAGCTGCTTGACTTCAGAACATCCACATTGAACTTTGAACAGGGAGTTAACCTCTACTGCAACAAATTAGTGAATTTTGGGAGATTTAGGGCAGTTAGCGTTATATATCCTGGCTAATAGATCTTCTCTAGTCATTCTATCCCCTTACTCTTGATTACAAAACCCTTTTTGTTTCCTTTGGGTGCTTCAAACACTTAATGTCCTTAGCAAATGCTAGTCAGTACTTTCCACCTGTGCCATTAATTTTCATCTTAATTGGGGGGAGGGGGCTGTTCACATCAGGAAGTTGAGATGCTTATGTTACCAGTTACATTTTGTGTCAAGAAAAAAATGCCACTAAAGAATGTCTTATGTTA